CTGCGTACTCACTTTATCTGAGCCGTACCGTATTTTTTCTGTACAGAGCTCTCTATGTTTCACAATCAGTTGACTGTTTTGTAATTTACTGGAATGTAAGCTTAGTGCTTGACAATCCGGTGGGGTTCGCAGTTAATTTGTACAGTTTACTGTCAAATAGGTCACGTGGTCTCACTTTCGAATACCCACCCATCCATCCAGCGTTCATTTTGTAATCCCTGGTTGCTTATGTGTGACCTCCCAGTACTTCCTGACTTTGCAATGGTACCTTAGAAATAAAAAACAAACAATGACAAAGTTTATTTCCAGATCTGTGTTATCATAGGAATATTGATTGAGAGACCGCAGATTTGTTTTGTTTCAGAAAGGTATGCTCAAACAGTTAGATCACACAATTCCAATCTGCTGTCGCTTCACGTATTCAGGAAAAAGGACCTCAAAGTACAAGCACTAAAGGTGTATGACACACGCGCTACACCTCAAGCATGATATCCGCATCGCGATCAATAGATAGGCACATTTTCTAGCAGACTGACTCAGGATGGTTGGAAAAAACTATCACCGAAATCAACCCGTATATGTGATCATGGGGCTTTGTGGTGGTGTATCCAGTGGCAGTGAATTCTGCGACTTATAGGCTTCGACAAAGGCCATCTGAGCACTTTACACAAAGACGTAATGAGTTGGAGCATCCGATCCCGTTCTTGTGCAACCAATAAAGTGTACCGGACATCAGATAATCGCAGAAAAAGGAATACTATACCGAAACAGAGGATCAAATAGACAGAGCTGCCAATTGATGGTGCTATAGTTGTCTGCTAGTGCTGCATTTGAATGCAATCTGTTGTGGTCTACAATTGACTGATACGTTTGTAGTGCATGCCTATGACCGGATTGATTGACAGATACTGCCTGCTGCACCACGCACGCATTCACGCCATGCGGTTTGACTCTCTGACAATATCGATCGGTCCCAGCCAATCAGGTGTTTCGTATTGAACAGTCCACATGAATTGATTTTTGTCGACTGTTTCAATGCCTACCCGACTGCATTCGGATGTCCTGTGACGCTTGAGCCAGTGGTTGGCCTGTCTGTGTGGTAAAGCACCGCTTGCCCACCGGCTACATTTGAGTACTGGAACTAGAATAACCATTAAACTTTTCGCTTACGTATTAATTTGCTTCCACGGAACACAACACAATCGAAATCTCAAAATGATTATTTGAANAACATAGGTTTTCCCGCCGATTGCCAAACTTGTGACAAAAAAGGGGGATAGTCCAATTTTGAGCCACTGTATCCAGCTAGAGGATAAGTTGGCTTTGAGGACCACAAGAATTCATATCGGTTCTCGGGAAAGTGAGTACGAACGGTACAATTGGGGTCGGGATTGAATTTCCAGGCAACCTGCGAATCAGAAAAGTTTTCCGAACAAACCAGTGGTGGCCGGTAGTTTAGTTCACAATTCCTGGTAGAAAACTAGAACGGGAAAGGAGGTAATGGCCTGTAGTAGTGGCGTGTTACATAAGCTGGGGCGCAGTGATGTCGTCAGACTTTTGTAATATTTATGGGGAGAACTTGTCCTACTCTCAACTGTCACGTCCGAACGTAAAGAAGAGACTGGAAAAACAGCTGAATCACGACATGGTGCAAGAGCCAGGCCGGATATTGGGATTGGATAAAATATTCGTGTCCAGGGCAGCCACATTCATTTTTGCAGCCAACATCACCGTGCGATCTGTCCGTTCGATAAACTGGCGTAAGACGGTTCACAAAAGACCATCTCGGGCATTTTCATGAAACATAAATCCGGTAATTACCGGAACAGCTGTAACGCTCATTGTTTCAAAGATGGAGTGTAATATATGGCCATGTTGTCATCTAGTGCCCCTCGGGACTATCGGTTTGACCCTGTCAAGAAAAGCCTAACCTTCCCCTGAGAATTGTCGTGATCTGGATTGGGAACAACCACTACCGTGAGAACATGTTGGCGTTTTCTCGATGGCCCAGGATACGTGGCGCGCATTCTCTCCATCGCTGTCCTCGTAATCTCCATTCCGGGCAAATGACTATAGACTATGATCAACCTCATATATACCGAACGCTTCTCCCTTTCTCAATCCAAGTTTGGCTGGAACTAGCAATAGAATCTCGCGCCGTTCGCAAACTGACTTTTAACTGGGATCGTTTGGATACTACGCATCAAGGAATCAAGTTGGTCGATATTTTGGTGAAACACAACACCCCACAAAAGCCCCAGTATAGTCGGGAGTGGGTATCTCGGATTATGACTGATCACCTTCCCTTACACCTCGCGAAATGCTTCCATACAACCAAGTGTCAGAAATAACCCAACCAAGTCGAGGCAGCTGTTCAGTGCTCCCTAGCTTTACAGTTCACGCTTCATTTGTCATATACACGACGAATTTCCATTTTGAAATTGAATCAAATCCTCCATTGCTCATATGAAATCAGTGGTCGGATTTGTCTCCAATCATCAATAAAGCTTCGTTCTGTCGTATACAATCTTTTCAATTTAACGGTGAGTCGGGGGCATGTGTCACGAAGCCGTTTAGTTTTGGCTTTCCCGACTGATTATAAATGCCTTCAGTAGAACCACAAGCAATCCAACGAAGTAAATTAATTGCTTACCGATAATCAAATACCACATGTTTATTGATATTGATTTAGTAGATTTCATATCCTCACACCACGGACATCGCACAAGTCGTCGTGTACAATAGATTCACTTGATGTCACGAAATAAACATCGACAAACAGAAAACACTCCCGTCTGAATGACAATGTGATGTTGTGGTGAGGGCACTTCCATGAGTCTGGAGGCAATAACTCAGGGTTAGTAACGCACAGATTATCGATCCGCCGTCAGTCGGAAGCGACACCACCTGATCCTTGCACCGCGCGAAGATGTCGAACTGAACGCGACAGAGGATCGGCAACAGTCAATCCAAGGCAATGGATTGCAACAACACTTCCTGCGGATGTGAGATGCTGGATTGGTCAACGTGGAATGACTGGCGGCTTTGAGCGTTACCGGTTGATATAGGTAAGATAACACAGGAGAAATGGACCGGCCTGGTCTGGCAGGGCACTTTGGTGGGGCCGTTCAGAGGGCGGGTTAAACAATCACTTGCACCTGAAGATTTCCAACATGAGAAGATAAATCTTCAACGATAGTCCACATCGCTTTCTGATTTTGCATATGTCTACTCTGCAACCAGGAATAGTTCAAGAGACCCTTATTAACCTACTGGCCGCTTCTGAATTCGGTAGAAAACGTTTAAAACTTCAAGGACAGAATACTCCAAACCTGGGAAGCCTTCAAGAGGGTTTAAACGAACATAGGGAAGCAGTCCGCGACAAGATTAGTATATTCAGAAGGGAAAAACATCACTAGCGAGAAGGTTGGCTGGCTTAGCACGTGCACAAGCGACTATGCTAACGATTAGCAGCCTTGTTATTCAGTATTTTTACCAGACATCGATTACACTGATCCGGAAGTCTCGAACTAGGAAGCGTGGTGTGACCTGAACAATCCTCAGGGTTATATAGCTATCGGTTACGCCCAACACCAAATTACTCCGGTGAGATTGGTTTGATGGTTTTAGCAACAAAGGGAACAACCTGTACACAGCTCATATGAATGAATGAATGCAGTTCGCATCCGGTCCATGAAAAAGAAATTAACTGGGTACCTCCGAACTAATAAGCACAACTATGCAAGCCAGTTGCTTGTGATACACATTGGCAAAGTGCGCAAACCGACGCTTAGCAGACACCTGTGTGAGAGAGGAGACTGGGATGACTTCGACAGACAGAGAGAGAGCGAGAGAGGGACAAACCGGACAAAAGAAATGTATCTAGGGATTTATTTTAATTGCAACTTATGTTCCCCGCTTCTGTTGTTGCACACACACACACACACACACACTTCTCTTTTCGTGTCTCTTTCTCTCGCTCTCGGGATAGTTTTTTGCGCGCGTGCTCTCTCTCTCTCTCTCTGTTGCCCTTTGCACTCAATTGAACCACAGAAAACGCAAAATGAAAAAGAAAACAAACGAGTCTATAATGCGGGGCGAGGGGATGGGCAGTGTGAGGAGCAGGTGGTGGTCGTGATTGGGTCAAGTGACAGAGGAGAGACACGGGAGACGACAGGGCGAGATGGGAGAATCTGTACGTGGACATCAGTCAGACTAGTGGATAGGGTCGATGTATAGACGTGTGAGTGTATGTATAAACAAGGTGGTGAGACAGGCAAGGATATTCAATGAATGAAAAGGTGATGATAGGTGAATAGTTACATGAGATGAAAAGCCGCTAATTTTGTGTGCCAGTGTGCAGTTCTACAACACGGGTATAGTGTTGAGAAGAGGGAAATGACCGGAGAGTAACACATCCTCCCCCCTCATAGGTCAATTCATCATATTGTTTTCGATGCGATAGGAAGCTCGCTAGTGATTTACGGGGTAAGATGTGTTAACGACCAAACCTCGTCCGTCCGAGTAGAGGAGCGCGCGCGCGCGCGCACACACACACAAGCGAACACTTCTGGGTGAAAAGATGATTAGAGGGAGAGGCAGATGACACGGAACCACAGACAAATGAAAACAGGATGAATTACAACGGAGTGTGTAGCCTCGCGGGTGACCGAGGTGAACAGAGCGTGATCAGGATGTTTGTCTGGCCCAAATCCCCTCGTGTTCCAGTCAGTACACATTCGGATAACAAGTGACAAAAAAGCCACCAGACTGACGATGAAAACCACTGTGGGGGGGGGTGGGTGGGTGAGGAAGGGAGGATAAAAACGAGGATGGAGGGGGAAGCCATTCACAGCCGACGAACTGTTTGAACACAATGAGCTGTGCAGAGTGACCGGACTGGGTTGAGGGCAGACAGACAGACAGACAGACAGACACACTAGGTCAAATCGTGTGCGTATCGCACTCCATCCAGCACACGAAGCTAATATATCGTATTTTTAGGGGATCGGATCGGATCTGTTCTCGACAGATGGTTCCAGCATATCAGTACGGTTACAGAGTTCCGCAGATGAGGCTGAGGAGACAAGTGAAGTTGCAGATGACGAGGAGGCGGACGAGTTCGGATCTGGTCCGGTGGAAACACCGGGGGTGTCTCGGACAGACTGACACGGATTTAGTGTGCCCGTTGTTGATGACGACGGCGATGATGATGACGAAGTGGACGAGCCCGAAGGTACAGATAATTTGGCCAGTGATCGATAGGACTCAAGCCAATCATCCATCATACGATCGACTAGCATATGACGAGGCTGAAGACGTAGACGAGCCAGTGGAAGACCGCGCCGAGTCGAAACAACATCCAGCCAGTCGCGTAATAGGATATGTGACAAATTAGCCTGAGGCGATGTGGAACAGAATAACGAAGAATAAACCAACGTATCCATGCGTTACAACGTTACACAATACAAATAAAAGTGGTCTAATTGGTGGTTTGGTTAAAAAAAAATTACAAAGAGGGATAATTCTGACTAGTAGGACAGCCAAGATGTTCATGAGTTACATGTTGACACTAGAAGAGGCTGCCATTTTTCCTGATCTAGTGAAACACGCAAGTACAGATCACACTCATCGATCGTTGGAACTGAACAGACGCACAGTCAATTCGATAGGTGTATGAACAGTCGGTTGGATGGCAGTGTGACATTGATCAAATGGATTGAAGTCAGTAGCGCGAATGTTGTACAGTTTGCCTGTCGAAATCCGCGCCCCATAAAAAAGACAAAATAACACACACACAAACACACGAAATTTCAAAAAATACACGCCTGACCCGCAAGGTGCCCTCAAATATACCTCAATACCCAATGGAGCCGTTTAACATTGTCTCCGAAATCCTCAGTATGGTCGGGGGTGGGTGTCTAGGGTTGCGGCTAGTCACCCTCCCCTTGCACCTCGCGAAATGCTCCCATACGACTAAGCGTCTCAAATAGCCTCTGCTGAGGAAGCCCCATACTCACTGCCTTCCCGAGTCATGTCTGCTAACAACCATAAGGCCCAAAGCACGTCGACGAGAGCGACTTAGACCACATGGCCAGTGGCATGTTTTCGATCAAAATCGGACATGATTGATTGTTTGAACACAACCGAGGGGAGAAAGTGAAACTATTGAATTGAATCTGTCTTGTCACGATTCTTGCGATCCACGCTCTTATGAAATTTGCACAGAGAACTGTGCATACAATTTATTCTTATGTCTTTTCGATCAAATATTGAGAAATCCTCCGAGAAAAATGCCGAAAGTCAGTGACAAATTTGTTGTCCAGTGTAAAAACGACCGTTCTGTCAGTGAGCTACAGCTTTTTACAATCGCAGATACCCCGAGTGATGCAACAGTTGAACAGTGGGAATGTAAACTAGGAAAGATACAAGTGAAAAATGGGCCTCGTCACGGATGAACTCACTTCTTTCTCCGTGGTAAAATGTACCGGGAGCAGACCGCCTTGACGATCCACAAGGGGCAAATAGATGAACGCATTGTGTGCTACCCCAACACCGCTACCGAGACCGGGCAGATTGTGCGAACCGGGACCGGACGAGAGGATATTCTCTGCCATATTTAGNCACATCCGAACTAGTAGCCAACTGATGATGATGATGATCATCAGACGGACTGGGACTGTGTTTGCGAGATGAGGAGCAAGATGACGAACCGGAGGATGGTGCGGTTGCACCCCCGCCGCCACCGCCACCAGGAACAGCTGGACGTGGTGAAGCGTACGGTGACGATTGGATGCTGGGACTGAATTGTGGCTCCAGTCCTGATCCCAGTGGTTGTGGTTCCATTGGAACCAATGCGGTAAAATGACCCCGAGTATAGCCCAGAACAATGGGATTTGGAGAGCAAAAACTGCGATCCCATAGCAAAGGGATGTAGATACCTGATAGGGGGGAAACCATACGACATCCAGAAGAGTAATGTTAAATGTGATTCGAAGAATGGGATCAATAGAATGATACCGACACCTACACCCCGCTGCAAAGGAAGATTAAATGATAAGAAGCGTGGTGAATAAAGACGAGAAAAT